TGATGAAGAAGAAGAAGAGGATGAGGAAGAAGAAGAAGAAGAAGGAGGAGGAGGAGGATGATGAAGAAGAAGAGGATGAGGATGAAGAAGAAGAAGAAGAAGAGGATGAGTATGAAGAAGAAGAGGATGGGGATGAAGAAGAGGATGAAGATGAAGAAGAGAATGAGGATGAAGATGAAGAAGAGGATGAGGATGAAGAAGAAGAAGAAGAAGAAGAGGATGATGAGGATGAAGAAGAAGAAGAGGATGAAGAAGATGATGAGGATGATGAAGAAGAAGAGGAGGATGAGGATGAAGAAGAGGATGAGGATGAAGATGAAGAAGAGGATGAGGATGATGAAGAAGAAGAGGATGAGGATGATGATGATGATGAGGATGAAGAAGAGGATGAGGATGAAGAAGAGGATGAGGATGAAGAAGAGGATGAAGAAGAAGAAAGAAGAAGAGGATGAGGATGATGAAGAAGAAGAGGATGAAGATGAAGATGAGGATGAAGAAGAAGAAGAAGAAGAAGAGGAGAGGATGAGGATGAAGAAGAAGAAGAAGAGGATGAGGATGATGATGAAAAAGAAGAATAGGATGAGGATGCAGAAGAAGAAGAAGAAGAAGAAGAGATGAGGATGAAGAAGAGGATGAGGATGAAGAAGAAGAAGAAGAGGATGAGGATGATGAAGAAGAAGAGGATGAGGATGAAGAAGAAGAAGAGGATGAGGATGAAGAAGAAGAAGTAGGATGAAAATAAGAAGAATTCCAGTCCAGCAAAAAGTGTCTCTGCAGAGAGCTCCGCTATTTCTGACAGTTCTCTGACAGTTCCTTGACATTTACAGCGGTTGAAACATTGTATCTATTTGTTTCCGAATAAAAACATCTGTATCCTAAATGGAAACAAATAGATACATTGTTGCAACTTCTATAAATGTCAAGGAACTGTCAGAGAACTGTCAAAGAAATAGCAGAGCTCTCTGCAGGGACACTTTTTGCCGGCTCTAGACGGGTAGAAAATCGGCCGATTTTTTTTTACCATTGATGGTAACGTCGGCCACTTGAACAACCGATTTTTCGTTTTTTAAAAGAAAAATCTGCAGTTTTTCTCCCCATCTATGGCCTGCATAAGCCAAAGTGAACCCTCAGAGTTGTTAAAACAAACTCCTCTCCAGGTTAACGATAATACACGGCAATGATTTCTTTTACCAAACTTCATTGCATGTTTTTATTTGATTTTTTTCTGTCAACATAGAGCTAGGCTTGTCCCTGCTGAAAATAAGTGCTAAGTTGCTTAATATAATTACATTTTGAATACTTGTGTTATTTTAAGCAATAATACATCACTGAAATCCCTGTAGATGTGCAGCATCATTGGCAAGTGAATAACTAGATGGAAACGCTCACTTCAGTAGATCTAAGAATTTTGCTGGGAATGCCTGTAATTGTACATCAAGAGATTTGCAAACGTCCAAAAAAGCAGTAAATTTATTACTATTACTCCATATTACTATTGATTATCATGAGACATTTTCAGGATGAAATAGAAGGGTCATTTTTCCAACACTTAAGAGACTCTGTCACTTGATGAAAGGTGAAAATACAAACAGCAGCAGGAATGACACCTAGGGTTGCCTGAACATACCTAAAACAGCCTCCAAAACCTCCTGTCATAGCAATGCATACATTCTTGAATGAACTGCAAATTTGCACCAGATTTCCTCCAGATTTGCGCACACTGTTATGGATTACTTGATTACAATGAAATACAATCCAATGTTGTTTTTTAGGTTTCAAGAGAGTGGATTTAGGGTTAGAACCTTTGTTTTATTTTTATTCTGTCCCTTTTTCCATTGGGGAGATTTCTGTCTTAGCACCTAGCATTCTCAACAATAAATCTTAGCAGAGACTCTAATGGTGGCCATACACTATATGTAAAATCGTACAGCTGTAATGTTTGTTCGATTTTCAACTAATTAGTAGGTGAAAAACAATAATCGTTTTCAACTTTTCAGAGCTGAAAAATCAATTGATAAGTTTGCAAAATGTTTATTGAATGAACAAAATTTGAAAGGTTAGTAGGTTTCACGTTCGGTAAAAATTGATTGATTTTTAATGCTCATGTGCAAGAAAACGGTCACCTGGAAGAAAAATACTTTATTGGAATGCACATACAATCCAGAATCAGATCTTTCATCTACACAATCAAAAAAAAAAATTATACATTCATCTAGCAGGGCACATAGTAATATATGTTCAAACACAGGTTGCCAGCTAATGTATTATTTATATATAATCTATAATGGATGGAAAGTTATGGAAATGCAAACAAAGACACAAAGAAAAATCTTTCCATAACGAATGCTCGTTACTCCTCAAAAGCGGGAATACGTGAATCGACATTGAAAGGTTAAATATATGTCATCACTCCCTTTCTAATGTGAACAAACTGAACAATAAAACAATTAATTTATGTCCCTTGAACGATTTATCTTTTTAAATTTGGTCACTACAGGATAGTAGTATCGTGAGCTCTGCTGAATGATTTTTCTTACAGTATATGACCTGCATTACAGTTCCCCTCTATAAAAACATATTTGCCTAGAATGGTACTTCCATTCTGTCTATGGTAATGGTACATTTTTGGGGAGTCAGTTTTTCAGACCTCAAAACAGATGTAGTTTACCATAGGAGAGCATGGAGTTATCCACACATAACTAAGGCTGTAGATAAGTAGGTAGGAAGCTGCTTGTGAATCAGATCAAGTAAACAGGGAATTGTAAATATTAACAGATTGTAAACAGAGTGTGACTTTTGCAGGAAAAGGCTGATATTTGCATATCAGTTTAGCTGCCTATGGAGTTGGTTGCTAAGGCAAATAGACTGTTTACTTTTCCGGGGAAGTGGCAATTTGCAAGAGATTTCCCCCCCCCCCCCCCCCCCCAAAAAGATTCGTGAATGTGGGGGAATTTCACGTTACAAAGAATACCCAATCATGTACAAGGACAATAATTTTAAAAAACGGCATTTTTGCTTGATGGAAGTCAGCATAACTTTGCCTAGTTCACTAATCTCTGGTAAAAATTCCCTTGCACAGTACAACTTCCCTTGCAAGGTGAACAGTCTATTTGTCTTTTGTAAATCAACTCTAATGTCTCTGGGTCTGCTGGTAATTTTAACCTGCGGTTTTCACTGAAGGTACATCTGCTTGTGCATTTTCTTCATTATATGTCCAGATTTGTGGGAGGTTCAGCTCCTGTAAGTCACATTATAGGGAGCAATGACATTAACTGCAGATAAGTTAAAAGTGTGATATCTTTGATAAATAAGTTACATAAAAGAACTCGGGTCATCGTCATGAAGATATGCTGTTATATGCCATGCATGACTGATAATACTCCTGAAAACTGTAAACTCAGATCTAGTACATTACCTAATGACTTTTTGATCACACACATTTAAAAAACACTTTGCAAATAATGTATGTTTATGCTTGTACCACATATAGTTTAAAATAAAATATCAATTGAATAAAGGCCCTTTTCACAAAGGGGCACAGGGAATATTCATGGCTATAGCTAGAAACCAAATCATGATATAACAAATAAATAGCTACCTTAATGTTGTCACTTCTTTTAGTGATGTATAAAATAATATATTTGAAAACTCAAAGTGTTTATGTGGTTTGAAATGGCTCTTTTTTATGGTACAATGTGTTTAAATGCCATGTAAAATGGCATTAATGTGTCATATAAAGCAGTGTTTATTTGTAGACGAACAGTGTGTTTAGTGCAGTTTAGATGCTCATTCTTCTGCAGTTATGTGGTGCCATTTATACATTCTTAGCGAAGCGTGCCGCCAATAAAAATTGCTACTGGTGTGATTGGAAGAGGGAAAATTAATCCTTAGATGTGCATTAGTAACACACATTTTAACATTTGTAAATGCACAGGGTGCATTAAAACTTGATTGCATCTTTTAAATCATATATATTTTTTAAATATTAATTTATTATCTTTTGAAAAACAGCATCCAAGACTGTCCTAGCAGTATATTTTTTATATTTTTTCCCTACTGCGTGAACCTCAACTGAAGCCTATTTGACCTCTTGATATTGAGCATTAGTACTGCAACATTTCTGTTACTTGTATGCCCAAAGAGACAAACGGGGGGGGGGGGGGGGGGCAGGTTAATAAAGTGGCGAATAATCTGATCATCAATTGTTTGCTGCTTTTTTTTTACTGATGGCAGCCCGTTAGGTGGTTTGTAGTATTTAAGAAGATTTGCCATCCACATTAATTGCCTTTACCAGAGAAGTTGCATTCCTATCTGTTTATGTATATTTGCTTTTATTATTCAGTAGACAATTTCCTTTCCAAATAATGATCCTGATCTGTTTTTAACCGCTTGCCTACAGGGCACTTATACCCCCTTCCTGCCCAGGCCAATTTCCAGCTCTCAGCGCTGTCACACTTTGAATGACAATTGTGCCGTCGTGCAACACTGTACCCATATGAAATTTTTATAATTTTTTTTGTGACAGATAGAGCTTTATTTTGGTGGTATTTAATCACCTCTGGGTTTTTTATTTTTTCTTAAACAAACTAAAAACCGCTGAAAATTTTGAAAAAAAAAATTTCTTTCTTAGTTTTTGTTGTAAAATTTTGTAAATAAGTGATTTCTCTCCTTTACTGATGTGCGCTAATGAGGCTGAAGTGATGGGCACTGATAGGCTGCACTGATGAACACTGATAAGTGGCACTGATGGGCACTGATGAGGAGGCACTGGTAGGTGGCACTGATGGGCATTGACAGGCATCACTGATGGGCACTGAAAGGCAGCACTGATATATGGCACTGATAGGCCGCACTGACTGGCACTGTTAGGCCGCACTGACTGGCAATTTTAGGCGGCACTGACTGGCACTGATAGGAGGCACTGACGGGCACTGATAGGTGGCACTGATGCACACTGATAGGTGGCACTGACTGGCACTGATAGGCGGCACTGACTGGCAGCACTGATAGGTGGCACTGATTGGCATTGATAGGTGGCACTGACTGGCACTGATGGGTGACACTGAAAGGCAGCTCAGATTTTCACTGATATGTGGCATTGATGTGAACTGGTAGGCACTGATTGATGTGGGTAGGCATTGATGTGTGCACCGGCACGTGGCACTGTTCAGCAGTGCCAGCTGGCACTGATGGACACTGACAGCTGGCACTTCTGGGGCCACACTGATCATCAGGGCACACTGATCATCAGTGCCCTGATGATCAGTGTACATGTCCCCTCCACGGAATACCGATTACTGGCTCTCCTCTCCTCACGAGCTATCAGCGTGACAGCTCATGAGGAGAGAAATGCTGATAACCGGCATTTCCCTGTTTACATGTGATCAACTGTGATTGGACACAGCTGATCACATGACTGAGCCGACATCTTCGGCTCTTTTTTTAGATCGGTGATCCACTGTGTCCGAAGGACACAGCGCACCGCTGATCGCTGCGCTGTGCGCTCCCTGAGCCGCGCATGCGCGGTGAGAATGGGAGGACGTCATGTGACGTCCTCCCAGAAAGAGAGAACCACCTTGCGCCCGTCATTGCACTATATGACGGGCGGGAGGTGGTTTACATTTGAAGTTTTTAGATCATTGATTTTATCTTATGGTTCATCATTCATTCCTATGGAGGAAGGGGATTCTAGTCTAAAGTCTTCATTTATGTACTCCAGTGTTTGCCCCCTGTGGGCAACACCTCTAATTATAAACTATTCGGTGAATAGCTCATTAATATACAGTAAGCCCCTCAGTTTGACAACCCAACAGTGGAAGGCTAAAGTTGCCTTGGAACTGGAAGATCAATTCTTGCTAAATATATGGAGAGTCAACAGTGGGAGTCCAAATCCCCTCCAAAAAAACTATATGCAGTTCAAGGCTTTTATCAAACAGATCATTTTATTTCTTTGTTATAAATAGTTCTTGATCATCTTACCACGTTTTCTCAGACTGATTCTGAATAGAATGGTAAGAGATTATTGTCACAAGAATGTCGGTTTCAGTGTTAGGCCTCATGCACACAGGACGTTTTTCCTGCTGCTTTTAGGAGCGTCAGGCATTATTGTTTACTGTTACCAAATGCCTCTCCATGTTATTCTATGTGTCCATGCACACTGTGGCTTTTAGAAGCCTTTGGTGGCAGGGGTGTTTAGAGGCAGTTAAAAACAAGCCAGGACCAGTGCATCCTGCAGCAGTGGCGTTTTTGGTAGAAAAAAATGCTTGATGCGCTTAAACGCATGAAAAAGCACCTAAACACTAGACACACTTGAGTGTTAATTTACTTTAAATGCCAGTATAAATTATTTATTCTCGCCAATGAAATTAATTACCTTCCAAAAGTTTGATGTGGGTAAACACGTGTAAAAGCAGTACACATTTTTATAAGGCTTTTTTTGGCCAAAACGTTGCCAGGAGGCGGCTTCTAGGGTCAGTGTGCATGAGACCTTATAGTTATATAAAATTAAAGAATCTGTATTCCTTTAAGGTGGTAAAACAGACAATTTTGCTAATTACTAACGGAAGGAAGAATCTTCACATAACAAATTGTGTAAATATTCACTTCACTTATGCAGTCATGTGCAGATGAAATAAGTAAACAGGGATTTTCTTTTCACAGTATTGAATAATTTAAGTTAATATTCACAAAATTTATTTTGCAAAATTTCTCAACTCCTTTAGTAAATCAACATTCCTTGCCACGAATGGACGCAGACAACCATTTTGTTAAAGATCCACCATTTTGTATCATACTCTGCAAATATCATTCTCTCTCCCTCCAGCCCCCTCCCCTTGCAAGGAATGTGGTCTGTGTGTGTGCTGAGTTCAGGAGTGAACAGGGCACAGCTGGATACACTTCATGGTTGTAAACTCAATTAGCTGGTTCCATGATGTCTGTCAGACCCTTGCCTTGGCCTGGTCGTAAAGCTATAAATCAGTCTGTCACTGGACATGAAAAGCATTCCAGAATGGCTGTAAAACATACATCCCACTTGAAACCACTTTTTCATACAAATTCATAAATCCCGACAGGAACAAGGTACAATAAAACAAAGCATATATTCAGATAGGTCAGTTTAATACGAGTCACCTGACACATTACACGCCTATGTGGCACCTACATGAGAGTAGAAAGCAATATGTCGTTATCTGAAACGGTAAGATATATGTCATATTTGATGTCTGAAGGTTATTGGCCATGGTATAAACGCGGGAGGGATTTGGTCATAGCCTGAGTCTCCGCCTAAACACCCCCTCCCCAAATGAGGCGATTGGTTCTCTTCTTTAAGGAGACACCCTGCTGGGTTCCTAGAAAAAAGGCTGTCATGCCTGGAGAGGAAGATGAAGAGATTCTCCCTTTTAACATCAGGAACCATCTTTGGGAGAAAAGGCAACCCTTTTGTTCAGGACACTTGAACTCTGCTTAAACCAAGGACTTCTTTCTGTTTTCTCTCTTTTCTGTTATTGCTCTCTATTTATATATATTGGTTACATCTTTTCTGTAAATTTTTTATTGCACCATTTTGACCTTTTTAGTAATAAATCCTATTTTCTGAAAAGTGTTGAACTGTTTCTAAAGCTCTTTAATGCAAACTAAGAATCCCTGTCTCTGAAGAGTGCTACTGTGTGTTTTAAAACCTCTGGATATATCTGTCTGCGGTGACAGTGTGTATACAGACGCTTAGTCAAACATCATAGTGTTACTGCTAAGATTTGTGAGTTTCCTCCTTCTCTGTAAAAAGGTGGTGGTGGCAGTGTGAAGGGTTAATTGAGTAATTAACCTGACCCAGTAACAATAGCTCTCAGACTGCTTGTACCTAGATTGTGGTCCAGCAAACTGGAAAATCTTTGTGCAGGGTGCAGCTGAGAGTGGCATTGTTACGCTAGTGGCAGCGTGGTTTTAGATTGGCTAGTCCTTCTGTCACAAGTTGGTGAGAAGGGCTGGGGTCTGACGCCGCGCCCGTCACAAGCCCAATATCTCAATACTGGAGAGAGCAGTAAGCTGGTTATTCAAGCAGGAATGTAAATGCTTGAAGGAGTTCTGCACTTTATCAGTGCCACACAGGCAGGCGGCCATATTGCAAGGAAACATCTACTTTTTTTGTTAGATTTTCAGAATCATTCTGGCTGCAGATTTAAATAGAAACATTCAGTTAAAAACAGTGTTTGTGTGGCAAATGGATGTATAATTTTTTGGTTGAAAATGGATTTTTTCTTTTAAGATGATAACACCTATCTAAAGGTGTTTAATTAGGCATAACATGAATGTACTTTATTGTGGAATTAAATGGATATGAAGATTTCTTCTGTGCTTTTAGTGTCTGTCAGTGAACGTTCATTTAGAAATTATAGTTCTTCACCGGTCCACCAATCAGCATATCAGGAATGCAGTTTTGGCAATTTTTATTTTTTGCTGATATGCAGACCTTTGCTGACATGGCGTAAGGTCTGCAGTGACCAGGGTTCATCACAGAGATGAATGGAGACCCAGGGACAGCTGTAATAGAAGTCTTTCTCCTAAGTGGCAAGAGCTAACAATAGAGTCCTCCTATCACTACTCCTGTGCTAAGCACATTCTCTTCTTTCAAGGATCTACTATGGTACAGACTGCTAACTGATGTAGCCTGCTGGTAGTCTCTTTCTTCTCTGTTGGTGACCAGCCCTTTCTCAAGACAGATGCTTGAGCAACCATCACTCAAAGCAAATTACAACAAGCAGTTTCCTATAGCTGCCTAGAAAAGCTAACATTAAAGTAGGCAAATTCTTATGCAGGCTGCCACACTCCAAAATTTCTACAGCATTTATTTCAAAGCCCTCAGAGAGAATTCCACTTCACCACCAATGTTAAAGTCCAAATTCAGCTTAAAACAAATAATTATTGTCCCCATCAGCTCTTAAAAATGTAAAAGCTGCTGTGGCTTTTTTTTAAGAGCCGGGAAGAGAGGAGGATCAGGTAAATATAGCAAGGTTGTTATTTAAAAAAAAAAGTCTTTAGTATCATGTTAACCACTTCAATACCGGGCACTTTTACCTCCTTCCTACCCAGGACAATTTTCAGGTTTCAGCGCTCTCACACTTTGAATGACAATTGCATGGTCATATAACACTATATCCAAGCTAAAATGTTATCATTTTTTTGCAAAAAAAAGACCAAAAATTTTGAAAAAGACCCCCAGTTTTCTTTGTTTCTGTTATAAAGGTTTGCAAATACAGTTGTGTCCAAAATTATTCAACCCCCCACTGAAATTGAGTGTTTTGGCCAGTTTGACATTGCTTTTGATCATTCAGTCATCCTTGCTTACATTTACATTTAAAGAGGCACTTGTAGGTCAGACAAATATAACATAACAGTTTATAATGAAATAACCACAAATGTCTTTTCTGTGCTCACAGCATTATCAGTTTTATTCAACCCCCAAGTGACATTCAATCTTAGTACTTAGTACAGCATCCTTTTACAGTTATAACAGCTTTTAAACGTGAAGCATAGCTTGACACAAGTGTCTTGCAGCGATCTACGGGTATCTTCGCCCATTCTTCATGGGCAAAGGCCTCCAGTTCAGTCACATTCTTAGGCTTGCGCACTGCAACTGCTTTCTTTAAGTCCCACCCAGAGGTTCTCAATCGGATTTAAGTCTGGTGACTGCGATGGCCACTCCAAAATGTTCCAGCCTTTCCTCTGCAACCATGCTCTAGTGGACTTGGAGGTATTGCTTGGGATCATTGTCCTGTTGAAAGGTCCAACGTCTCCAAGCCTCAGGTGTGTGACGGACTGCATCACGTTTCCAGTCCAATATCTCCTGGTACTGAAGAGAATCATGGTACCTTGCACACGCTGAGAAGCTTCCCTGTACCTGCAGAAGCAAAACAGCCCCAAAGCATGATTGACCCTCCACCATGCTTCACAGTAGGCAAGGTGTTCTTTTCATCATAGGCCTTGTTCTTCCTCCTCCAAACATAGCGTTGATCCATGGGCCCAAACAGTTCTAATTTTGTTTCATCAGTCCACAGAACACTATCCCACAACTTTTGTGGTTTGTCCACATGGCTTTTGGCATACTGCAGTCGACTCTTCTTATTCTTTGGAGACAGCAAGGGGGTACGCCTGGGATTCTGGCACGGAGGCCTTCATTACGCAGTGTGCGTCTTATTGTCTGGGCTGAAACTTCTGTACCCACATCTGACAAATCTTTTCTCAGTTCCTCAGCAGTCACACGGGGACTTCTCTCCACTCTCACGCTTCAGGTAGCGCACAGCAGTCGAAGTCAGCATCTTCTTTCTGCCACGACCAGGTAGCGTTTCAACAGTGCCCTTTGCCTTGAATTTGCGAATGATGCTTCCTAAGGTGTCTCTTGGTATGTTTAACATCTTTGCAATCTTCTTATAGCCATTGCCCTTCCTGTGAAGAGAAATCACCTCTTCTCTTGTCTTCCTGGACCAT